TTTGTTTTTGCACGAAATACGACAAAATTATAAAGCTGTAAAACGAAACGCAACACAACAATAAGAACATTTACATTTACCAACATACGCGCCAAGTACATATTTTGCATTACAATGTTTTCAAAAAATATTATACTACTTGTGTGTGTCGTGAGTTTTACAGTAAAAAGTATTACCGCAAGTGTTGGAGAGATACCAGCAGGGACAGTGGAAACTGTTACTAGTGTGGTATGTATCTAAAGTTCAGAAATATTAAAAAGCTTAAATTGTACAAAATATTTTTTTTTACAATTTATTATTAAATAGATAGTGGATGATGGTTCTACGAGTACAGGGGTATGTATCTAAACATTCATAAATACTTAAAAGCTAGTATATTATATATGGCCAAAAGTAACATAGAGACCTATTATAATAAAATATAGATGGTAACATATTTTTGATATTGTTAGGGTTAATGTATGAATAATATTGTAAGCAGAGCTGTGTAACTTCTTTTTAGAATAAAATGTAAATTGAATAAAAAATCGTCTTCCTATATATATATTTTTTTTTTTTATAATATTTTAAAAAAATATTTGATAATTAAATTGAAATTATTTTAATAACATTTTATTCGAAAAATTATGTTTGAAATAATTATTTTTTTAATTATTCACATAATCTTTTATTCGAAAAATTATTTCTAAAATTATTCAAGTAAAGTTTTATTCCAATGATACACAAATCTGATTGTAAGTTAATAAGGTATACAAAATTTTATTTTATTTTCACCAATCATAACGAATATTTAGCAGCATAAAATATTATTTTTTTCTTATCTCGTCCCTATTACTAGCCTTAACAGACAATATGATAATATTATTTTTGGTTAAACCAATAATGATGAATTATCGGGGAATATAATACAAGTTTTTAATTTAAGTATTTTTAATGTAAGTTTCTAACAAAAGCACGGAATAAAAACAATACAATTTAAAAAATAACATCACATTTTGTTTTATGTTTTAAATGTATAAAAAAACTTTTTGCATTTTTTAGATTTTTTTAATGTTTTTATTTACTAAAAAACCTAATTTTCGTATTTTCCAACATTTTTTTACACATCATACTATTTTCTTAAATAAGTGATTTTCAAAAAATGCATTTCATGTAATATACTAGGATTTAAACGATGAACTGCAAGTAAATTTAACAAGTACGATAAATATAAGGATGGTTTAAGAATCCCCAAAAACAAAAAAAAATAAATACTTAGAGGAAAAAATTATAAAACGTTTCTAGTGCAAAAAAATTATGTTTTCGCTTTTAACCGATGATTTTTAAATTTGTTTACTTTTTAACTCTACTCATTCCCTTTCTTGATAAAAGGATTCACTTAAAATTAACTGTACATAATTTTCTAGAATATAAATCTGGATGAAATCACAGACGATCAATGGAAAAGTATATTTATCAAGCACGATACCGATAAAAGTGGTTCAATCTCCCCAAAAGAATTACAGAAACTAGTATTAGATGAGTTCAACGGATTCCTCCCCGTTGGCCATGCAGATATATATATACATTTACTTAAATCAAACGGTAAAATTAAAAAAAAAACAATTTTCTACGATAAAACCATTCTACAAATGTCCAATTTATTTTCAGATAACAATGAACTAGAATTGGAACAATTGCCAAAAATAAAACCAATACTATTTTTTTTGACAAAGGTTTGTTCAATTTTATTAATGTTGCTTTACAAGGTGATCCGTTTTTTATAGTTTTTCATTTACTGTGAAATATTATAAAATACCCAAGTTTTTTGAAATGGTCTAACTTTAGGAATTTTGATGATAACTAGTTGAGAATAACTATATAGCTCAAGATGATTGAAGGTTTATTCATTCTAAAATTGCCCTTCTTATTAATTTCAGTTTTATTAATAACGAGGAATAGACTTTAAAAATCTAAAGTATTATTTTTGTATAGTGTCTTAAAAGGAGAAGCGATGAGGATGAAAAAGTTGAATTAGAACTTTTATAACTTCAAAAGTAACTGTCCAAAATTAGTTATAAAACAGTCAAAATTCTCAGCAAAATATTCCCAATGAAAAAAGTTAATTAAGTATATAAGTCTACATTAAAGATATAAAAAACGATAGATCACCAAGAAAATATACAAATTTGAGTGTATTATTCATAATGAATCATTTTGTATAATATTTGTTGCATCTTAGTCATTCAAAAAAAGTCGTTATTAAATTGACATAATATGCGTTTCTTATATATTTTTTTTTTAGACAAAAGGTTTTTTGGATACTAAAGTCACAAACAAGAATATTACTTATTCCGGGATATCTATCGTGAATGGTTTAAAGAAAAATGAAAAAGTTAAAGCACTGTTCCCAAACGAGAATGATTTTTCAGAAATACTAGATCTTTTTGGTCTAAACGGTAGTAAAAAACTTAACTATCTAATAAATTTTGTTTGTAAATTATCCACAAACTGTTTACAGTAACATCCCGAATTGAATGGACGAAGTACGAAAAATTATTAAAAATGGTGGGGGGTTTTATATCGGTTAGTAGTTATAATTTAAATATTATTTTTACTTTATCAGTGTTATTGATCATTCTACCTTATCTTAGAGCTTATTATAAATATTATAAAAATAAAATGTGTTTCTTAAATTTTTTAGATGGGACTTTTATACGTGAGTTTTGATAAATTGGACAAGGACCAAGCTGGCGGTATAGACGTTAATAACCTCATTGAAACAGCGGTCCTAAATGATCCAGGAATGTCCTTAGAAGAAGCAGTCATTGAGGAATCAGACGATTCGGATGCAGCCATTAAAAAAACACTCATTGAATCTATCACGAATAGGGATTTAGACCGTAAATACTTAAGAACAACATTGCAGTGGGAATTATTATTAATTAACATTAACATTTTTTCAGGCCAAGGCTCGATTGATTTTTATGAATATATGGTAATAATGCGTGATGATTATAAGCTGCACAACTAATCATTAATGTCATCTCATAACTAAACTCTACTCTCGATTCAAGAGAATCTTTAAATTTTGAAAAATATAATAGTTATAGAGAATACCAATAATTTGCTATGTTTTTAGTAATTTTTGTTTTTTTTTGCAAGCTATGTAGGTACATATTTTAAACATTTATTCTTGTTTTAGATATCAGAATTTTTTTTTAATAAAATAATACACTGTGCACAAGAAATATTAAGTACACATTAGATGAACATTTCATACATACATTTGTAAAGAAATAAACGGTTGTCAATAATCAGTTGGTTATTTATTATTTATTAATTTGTTTAACTGCTGAAGATTTAATAAATATAATACAAGTAATAAAATAATTGTTTGCATATTTTTTATGTTTAATGTTTTGTGTTTGATGCATACAAATTAGTCCTTTCCTTTACCTCGGTACCTTATTTTATGTTAATAACCTAAAAAGGTTATAGTAAAACATAATATAATGGCGGAACTAGTATTATTGAATATAACCTATTTAATAACCAGTTAAGACGAACGTTAGTTAGCTATTGTACATTTTTCAATAGTATTGTCGGTGAAACAGTTAAATACTATAAAACAGATTTGTCGGGCATACGTAAACTGCGCCCAAATTACCTTATATTAGGTAAACTGCGCCCCGATTATAATTTGGTTCAAAAAGGGCATATGTAAACTGCGCCCGAGTTTTTATCAAGTGGAAAAAGGTTATATGTAAACTGCGCCCAGTTTCTTATCATCGGTATGAAATTCAAACAGCGCCCAGTTTTCCTAATATTTAAGGTGTAAGTGGTTTGAATTGTTCCACATTAACAGGGCCGGGTATGAGGATAAAGAGGAGTATGACAAAGCCATAGGAGCTTTTAGAGCGGTTGTAGGGGGACTTTAGCATACCCAGGCTGAAAATTGCCACCCTTAAGAATTCAACCCTCATTCCTTGAATTTTACGTATAAAATATTAATAACTTACCTACATACTTTGTTCAAATGTTTTATTTTAGAAATTTTTGTTTCCAAATATATTATGTTATATTTAATTTTTTTTAAATAAGAATGTTTAGTCAGGTATACATAACTTTAGTACCCACTAAAATGTAGGTCTAGTTGCTCCTATAAACAAAGCCCCTTCAGGTGTCTTAATCTTATAGAGCCACCCTAATATGAAAGTGAGGTTCCGTTTATACAAATCCAGTACAAACCCGTTTTTTGTTTGCTCGTCATTCTCATAAATTAAAATAACCAGATGCCATTTTTTAATTTTAGATTTAGAAATGACAAAGTTAGATTTTACCAAATCCTGGGAGTGTATCACTTGACAACAGTGTTTATTTGCATATATTTCGGTTGCAGCTTTAGTGGAAAAGACGAGTGCCGGATTTTGGGATTAAACTACACGGAAACTAAAAATAAATAACCTAAAGTAAACCGAAAACTAAGGGTCGATTCGGCTTGTACCGTGTATAGTTTTGCTAAAGTGTCATCGTAACGTCATTACGAGAACGGGCTTAGAGAAGACCACAGGGCCGTTTTTTGTCGTTCTAACCCTTTTCACGAAAATTGCGCTTTGATTAAGGGCTCTTCGCGTGGGTCGTGTGTGCACAGGTACATTGTACACCATAATGTCGGTGACACGTGAGAGATTTCGGTACACGGGCTTGAGGAAGAAGGAAAAGTAAAAAAAAAAGGGGCATTTTTTTAAATCCGGCTCAACTCCTACTAATAACTCCCTCTGTGACTAGAGTATTATATTATGGTGAAAACGCGGGGGCGGAGGGGGCAGTTGTGGACAATTCGAGAGGGGACGCATAGGGAGGTCGCCACCGCCGCCGCCGCCGCCGTTGAATCAATACGGTGGCGGCACGGTACCCCGGCGCGCCGGAGGGTAATCGTCGCGCGTGTGCCGTGTTCCGTCGCGCTCGAGCCGGGCGGCGCCCCCGCGGGCGGGCGTCGGTACACTGCCGCTGCCGCCGCCGCCGAGCAGCTGCTTGCGGGTGAGCATTGCAAAAATACCAGGAGAGAGCTCCGGGATCGCTCGACGCGCCGGCACCGTATCGCGAAAGCCAAAAATTAAGTCGACCGGCGTCGGGGTTTCGAGTGAACGTTGTTAATTTCGAATAAATATATCGGGTTGTTAGGTTTTCTTTTTTTTTTCCGCTTTTAAAGTTTCCATTTTTTTTACCGTCGCCAGTTTGTCCGCCGGATCGCCAACGTCCGGCACACCAGAACAGCAGCCGGGGCTCGCTCGTACACACGTCCCCTACCGTCATCGTCATCACCTCGGACAGCACAGCAGCGGCCAGCCGTGCATGCCGCCATCCCGGCTTCAGGTGTCGCCGCGGCGGCCGCCCGTGTAACCGACGGCATGTACGACCACCAAGCCGACGCCGCCACGCCCGAACACCCGCGATGACCAGCCGTACCCCACACACAGTATCGGCATGGCTTGTCGCCTGCGTCGCCTTGTCGGCCTACACGCCAAACGTCCATACAGCGTGAGTGTAATGTCATTGTTACTTAGCACAGCGTTTCCCACCTTGCGGACCTTGTCTTACTGTCAAATCTAGGAGATAACGATTTTGCCGTTGACTTGATCCGTCTATCAAAAAGACTGTGTCCTGTTGTGTAAATTGTAATTGACCGTTATGTACATGTGCATATATTGTTTTTTTTTACCTACAATCGCAGCCGCTTAACTCCTACAACGCTTTAACTGTTACACGGTTTGGCGTTTTGGCCCGGACGCGGTTAGTGTGTATAGTATAATATCTAAATTAATTGTTAGTTTTTGTCATAACCTGGCACGGAGCATAATATAGAGCTTTTTTAACGACACAATCTTACTTCATTTTTTTTTGTTGTTGTTGTCGACCAAAACTTTATACTACCGGCCGTCAGGCGTGTGTCAGATGCACACAGGTGTCTGAGCGTATTTTGCTATACATGAAAAACCCCGTCTAAACGACCCATAATAAAACTACTCCTGCGGTTAGAGTAGCACCCTCGGAAAATGTAGTTTTTTTTTTTTTTTTTTTAACTCAAATCTGGATTTATACCAAAGGCCACGCCTCTTTTAAGCACTCAGCTTTATGACGTTGCCCACAATACGGTCGTAAACATGCGAGACACCGTGCACAATCGTTATAAATCATCACCACCACCACCACCACAACGTTTTACACATTAAACGATCAGTCCAACTGATACACAGGGTGTTGTTGAACGATTTGTGCTAGTTTCGAATGGATAATAATCTAGAAAAAATATAAACATTAATATGTTAAGTGCTAGGATATACCTCGTGTTAACGACACGCCATTTAAATCATAAAAAAGTCCAATGTCCATTTTAACTAGCTAGTCACGTAACATATTAACACAGAATTCTAGAAAGCACAACTTTCAATGTAAACAAAAACTTACGGCCAATAACATGACAAATAATAATAATAATAATTTATTGATTCAACATAATATTATAGTGGCGTAGTCTTTAGGAGATGGTTGCCGGTTTTACAAAATACAGAAAGGTAAACAAAAAGAGAAGGGACGGACATGGGAAAAAGAAAAACGTCTAAGGCGACAAAAGTAATTTATGTGTCACAATGTGCGACACAATTTATGTCGCACAGCACGGCGGTGGGATTTGCTCTTTTGTTTATCTTATTGGCGACCTTTTTGTCGAGGGAGAAATTTTACATAATCACGCGTCATTCACAAAAAAAAAAAAACTCAGAAACGACTTTCCGCAAAGCGTTTCTTTATCTTTTCTCCGCGACTTTTTCCTCTCCGCCTCTTCCATCTCGACCGACCCGCAAAAAGGATTTGTGGGTTTTGTCTTTGCCCGGCGCGTCCGACTGGCAAACGCTAAGCTTCTAGCTGCGGTAACACGATAGAGAAAATAATATTCACACAATATATATATTATACAGGCGTCGAAATATATAGCTGTTAGTGTGTACGACTTAAGTGTTGGACTTCTTGTTCTGTTTCAGTGCCCCCGGCAGCAGTATGTTCGGTGACGTAAATATATCGGCTATACTCGACTCGTTCAGCGCGAGTTATGACAAACGAGTAAGACCAAACTATGGAGGTGAGTGTGTCGTCAAAACAGATTAAATCCTATTAACCTATGTCTATTACTAACTATAAAAATATATTGTATATTATTACTGCAGTCAATTACGCCCTATGATCCGACCATAGATGATAAACTGTGTTTGGATAACTTACATGGGTAGTCAGACGGTTATTGAAATTCGTTTTTTTTTTTATAAATGAATTTCTCATTCATCGCATTTCTCTGTTGAACCTTAAAAACAAAAAGAAGCAGAAATTAATTTGGTAGAAAAATATGGTCGTATGATGTTCTAAACGTTACTATTTTAGACTTTTGCACATTGTCGAAAACATTGCCTATTTTAAAACGGCGATGGATGACGGTTCTACTTTGACGGGATCTACGATTAAATGAAGTGAAAATAAAGACATAGGTACAAAGTTTTTTTCTGTTGCAAAACGATCCTTGCCAAGGCTCAATGCCATAATAATACCGATGTTGCAAGTACATTGGCCACATAGCGTACAAGTGTCTTAAGTATATTTTCTTTATAACTTACAAGAACCACATTTGAAAACGTTTAATGCTATATTATCATTTAACGCGTCTAATGAAATGGGAATAGTCTCTAGGAGCAATATCTTTGGCTTTCAATATTAGTAAACAATATGTAGAACTCTATGTCTCAAAAAAAAAATCCACTCATCACACCCGTGTACCATATGCCATCGGCATTGTTTGCCTGACAATAACACTTGAATTACCTACGCTGCTAGATGGGACTTTACAAAAGCTTGCTCTTTGCTCTGAACTGATAGTATAATAACCAACTGCTACGTGGACGCAGCGAATTTCGGTCAGGAGCCGAATCTGAGGAGATTATAAATAAATATACATTTCTATATACTCCAGGACAGTAGTCGATAGTGACTATAAAGAGTACCTAATGTCAGTTTAAAGTGATTGAAAATATCACGAATCCGTTGAAAACCAAAAACAGTTAAGTTTGGACGTGTGCTGGGCAAGGGGGATGAATTGGAGCAAGACAAACCCAACACCACACGGTAAACAATTGACCGTCAGTTGGTCTGTATGTATGAGTGTGTGTGTTAACGCCAGGGAGTTATATTGTATTGTACAATATGTCGGGCAGATGATGCAGGTATGGTGGTAGCTGAGCTGCAGCGTGTGGGCGTATAAACTTGGTCCCACATCATCTCGGAGCCGCCGAAATCGATTTGACCTGTAGCGCCCACCGCCGCTTTACTTTCGGTTTCAGCCGCTTGCGGGCGCTCTTTTTTCCCACCCATCTCACCCTAACGTATATTACTATTACTATTATTGTTTTTCTTCCATCGCGTTTCTCGTTCTGTCTTTCACACTGGTACTCTCTCATTGTTTCCTATGAAATCATGACGCCCGACTGTATGTATGTAATACTACATTGTACGTACACGTTTGTGGCGTACGCCGGAGAATAAAGTGATAACAACAAGGAGTGACAACGTCATAAAGCTATACATATAGGCAATTCCTTATCCAGAAAGAGACATAGATATTAGACACTACTGTGGAAAAAGAACTGTCTTCCTCTCTTCTCCATTCCGGCATGGCCTATCCATTATTTTATTATCTATGCTCAAGATGCTACACTTACTCATAATGTCTTGTTTATCGGCCAAATCAATTTGGCCACACTGTTTTGTTTAAATTTTCGCGGCCAATCGACTCTCGGGGCTTATATTTATGATAAAGAAAATAGATAACGCTATAATCGAATAATGGTTACATGGTTATTGAATGGTAGTTAAAATTGATTCTTTTGTTCTCCTGTAAAGTTGAGTAAAATAAGATTTGTGATGTGGCATCTTAAGCGACGGTATACATAGTACACATATAAGTATACATATTTTTATAATATATAAATATGCCATTATAACGTGATATTTTCACAGATTAGTTACAATCAGATGGCGCCCTTCCTATTAAAGCAATGTAATTTTTGCTATGAAAATGTAAACAAACCGAAACCCTTCTCAACTAAGAGTATCAACCGGAAGAAAACAAATTATTTATGAGAAATTATTGTTTCAGAACTAAGCACGTTGAATTTATTGCTTGTTATCACAAATTATTTGATAACATATATTGTACATAATAATATTATTAAAAAATTCATTGTACGACAATTTAATTTCTAGAATGTGATCACACTAAATTGAGGAGGGTTTCATTTGTGGTACGATAATAATATATGTTTACATTCCAATAGAATTTTTTTAGACTTAATAACATACTGGAGCGATAGTACCTGTATAATATTTTTATTTTCTATTAACGATTATAACGAGCAAAATATTCTATTATGTTGTGTGCTTAATCGATAAAACTTGTAGGCGTCAGACAGTTTTATTGTAGGTACTTCTAAATGTGATTTAAAAGTGGGGTTCTAATTGAATAGCGATTAAATCGAGAAACGCCTTCACGTAGACAATTGGGGAATTTCAAATAGTTTTCATTAACTCTACTACCATATTATTGCATACCTTGAGCACGTTTTCAAAAATCTTTTTCCGTCCCGTTTGATTTATGTACGAGTTGTCGGGTCTTTCGCGTTCGAATTCATTTTGTAGATAAAATAATAGAAGGAGACTCTATTCATTGTGTTTCAACAAAACGCGTTATTTATTGTGTTTACAAGTCCAAGCCAATTTCGAACGTTATTTATTACCTAACCTAACCGTGGGCTCAAATGAACACTTAGCAGCGTCCAAAAGTTTCTGGTTTTGAGTTTTAATTAAAACGAAAATTGCCTACACAACATAATATGATTTAATATCACTTGATAAGATCTCGTTATAGGTATGACATAATCTTTGTAACTGAGCATAGGTACTTATACCGCAAATAATTTAGAAGAAAGCTCTTGAATTTTAATTTGGGTAATAAACAAATAAATCTAATTCTAAGTTCATCAGCGTTTTACAGTACAACCATACTCATAAGTAGTAAGATCATGACCTCAGTATAAACATTAAGTATTGGTCCTAGGTGAGATAAAGTTATATTTTTAAATTGATTATACATTTAGACGCATACATTTAGATAATATGTTCACTATTTTCGGACATATATTGTAAAATGTGTTCCACATTAAAACCATAACAATATGTAAGACGTTATTAAAAACAAAAAATGCCCAGTATACGGTACAGGGTGATCGAGTTTTGCCGATTTATTACATCATAGTTTATCCTTTTTGTTGTTTTACGATATCAAACAAAAACATGAGAGAACCGTTTTACTTATAGCTTTGATGTATAGCTAAGGGGTATTGTTTCTTATAATATATATTTTAATAACAATTATTTTGCTGGTCTAAATCCACGATATCTTCTAACTCGCTGAATTGATTTCATGTAGGAAGCCAACAAATCGTACATCTAAAAAGTGGCATATAAGGCAAAGTACAATTTAAAAAAATGTATTCCTTCTCCTTTAAAAACCAAGGAAAAAATGTAGATATTTTCAATCTTATAGCGGCGTGCAATAACTCTTTAAAAATAGATCTATTTATTTGTATCAGCAAAATGTTTTCATTACATTGTTAATTGCTAGAGATGGGTAAAAACGACAACAAATCATCATAGACGGGCAATCAATCAACTCTAATCTAAAAATGTAATTTTAAGCAGATTCGCACCGAAATGTCTTATTTGGAAGCGATTTTCTATAGTAAAGTAAATGAAATATTTTAAGTGAATACATAAACCCATTCATTGTGTAGCTATACCACTACCGGGTAGTGTCGGAAGTAGTCAACTATACACTAGTCTAATATTTGCCTAATATACAATTGAACAAAAAGTGAGCTTATGTGTTTTCTACATATTGTTTGTATATTAATGTACCAAATTTCAGGTACGCCAATTGAAGTCGGTGTCACCATGTACGTGCTGAGCATCAGCTCTTTATCCGAAGTCCAAATGGTACACACAAATATATACTATACCGGAACGCATAGAAATATTTATTAAAAAAAAAAAAACATCATTTATTTATCTTAACATTATATTTCATATTTTTTCTATTATCTCTTATTATTATTTTTTATTTATTTTTTTTTTGCCGGTTTTCATTTCCACTTTTTACCGTCATTTTTATGATAATTAACGAATTCGTAGTGTCTATAAACGATCTTGACTGAGAAAACTTGGTTTGAAACTAAAAAAAAAACTTCTAAATATTATACTGAATATACATAAATAAGAAAATAATGATTGAATAATATGATATTGTTTTATGTATATACATATACAAATAAATTACAACTTTTTTGCGAACTTCTATCCGCTTTGTAAAACGTATTTTCAACTAGAAGCACGCTGTAGAATATCGTCGAGCATTTGACTTAGGCATATAATATTATATACATAGATACATATTATCGTACATCATATTTTAAGAAACAAAAAAAAACATCATAGTTTCCTTGATATAATATATATATTATATACCGGGTGATTCATTTAACGCCCTACACTAGTTTACTTTCAAAATAATTGTAACTTTGTAGTATTTCTTTTAACGTGGATGTGTTATTGGGCTGGATACAAGAAATTTCATGTCGTCATTTTCGCGTAACAATATTCAAAAATATTTTTCCGTGAGAAAATAACTAGGTATTTAAAAAAAAAAAAAAGTATAATATATATGAGACAGAGTTCAAATTTTTATCTTTATGATTATTTTCTAGAGCTTCATCAACTTTTGAAACTTAAACGATAACGTATAGGTATATTTAATTATCTTCCTAAGATTAGGAATGATTTTCTGAAAATTTTGACTTATAATTTTTAAAAAGTTTTGTAAGTTGATATAGGGCTCTAGCAAATACTAAAAAACATATGAATGTTGTCTAATATTGTACTATAATATAAATAAGAATGTTTCCAAAGAGAGACGTTAGAAAATTGCAGTTTTTTCAAGAGTAAACTTGTGTAGGCCGTTAAAAATATCACCCTGTATATAATATAAATGTATATTATCATTAAAAGTTTCGAATCTCATATTCGAAAACAAATATTCTCGTTTACCTAATGTTCTCGATTAACTTAAATTGCTAGTTTCCGGCTAATGACGTTTATTTTGCTTTTGGAGTTATATTTTAGTTTATGGCTTTTGGAAATCATGAAAATCCAGTTGGCGTATAACGATTAATTTATGGGCACGCAAAACATTATGTACGATATTTTATTACTTGCATATAATATTCTACTTAGAGAATGCTTCGGTTCTAAATACTATGTTCTAAGTATTGCTATATATTGTTATAATTTGAAAAGGAATCTCGCGTTTGACGTTTATTGTGTAATTGTTATAATTATTATTCGTTTTACAACGTGCCAATCCAAATTTTACAAACCTTTATTTTATTTTTTTTTTATTATAATTTTCATATTTTTCATTCTCAACGGCATAATTATTTTTCGTCTCCGCCATTGTAATATTATTTTGTAGGGTTAGGGGTTTCACTTTTGACACAGCGTTGCACTTGTCTGTTGTGCAAAATGTTTTAAACACGATCAAATAGAATTATTGCAAATTATCTGGCACGTTATTGTGAAATATATTAATCTCATTTTCGGTTTGATAAAATAAATTGTGAATGAAAAAATGTAAACAAATCACGTTTAAGTGATGTCGCGTGATTGTGTGCAAATAAATTGTTGTCAACCGTGGATTGAGTGTGTGGCACACGAATAAAAAAGGCACGGTATTTAATTACATGGACACGACCTTTCCATAAAAAAAAAATCCTCTACATACATTAAACACACATCAGAATATTAAACTCGGTTTATGTTCACTATAAAAAAAAATATATATAATACCAGGTATCCCGGCGGTCAAAAGCGTAACAACATATTAATATTGACCAATGTTGTTTTATATTTATTTTTAAAAAACAACAAAATATTAAGTTCCTACGCGGTAAACAGAGATGGGCAAAGTATAATATAATTGCTGCTTTCTAATAAAAAAACAACTGATGTTATTTAGCAGCAGTAATTAAAATAATATCGGTACACAAATTCAGTACCTACGCCCATCTCTGATGGTAATACATCTATAATTTACATTATTGTATATTTACTGTTCTTATAATAGTGTGTACTTACTGACGATAAACATTATTTTATTTTAATAAAAAAATTAAGAAGTGAAATAGACTCAGGTTGTTTTCAATACATCCGGATTTTCAGGTCCGCCGGTCACAGTCGGTGTCACCATGTACGTGTTGAGTATCAGTTCGTTGTCCGAAGTCCAAATGGTACACATATACATTTTTCTTAGGAACAATTTTTGCTTTTATATATTTTCTATAACGTATATACTGCCAGAATACTCGTTGATCTTGTCTATTATTAGCATACTTTATATTATTATAATTATCACTTACTATATTCATAGTTAGATACTTACTTAGATATATGCAACCATAATATATTATATTATACATAATACAATATTATTATATTGTTAATATCGTTATTATATTATGATATTATTACATAGTTTTGTAAAAAAAAAAAAAAAAATTCGGTAAAATATTTGACTATAAATAATATATTATTCGTTTACAAATATTACATGAACACGTTCAAACATACACTTACTATTGTATTGTAATCGATAATGTTCAAAGAGTTTATTTAGCAAACGACGCTTTATTGTTAGCGTAGGGGTTGAAGCACGCCTGTTTAATAGTAGTTACACCCCCTCCACCCCTCTCTCTCTCTTTCTATCTAACTATTTCACTTGCTCCGTTTACTTTGGAATAAATGGTATACATATAAACATAGTTAATAGACGATGGCTTTTATACTAACCGTTTACCAGTAAACACAGTGGAATATTATAGATTCGATCAGAATGTGTGTTATTCACACAGCACTCTATTTTTTTGTATGCAGTCGTTTCGGTGCTCAAAGATTAAGTGTCTGTTCATGACCTACCTTCAATTACATAGTAAAACAAACACAATAGGTTAACCCTGAACGCACATTCGTTTACAATTTCATCGTGAAGTGAGACTATATCATAATAGTTGAACCGACAGAGACTTTTGCCTAAATTTTTCGGTGTAAACAACAATTATTTGTCACAAAATAACGACTTGACACATTTTTTACATGCTACCACACATTGTTGGTTGTAGCCGGTTTTAAAGGTTTTTTTTATTATTAAAATTAAAATCAACCGTGTAATCATAATATAACTTACAATTCCGGTAAAGGTTTCACTTCAAAGGTAGGAAGTTAAAAAATAAATAAAAAGGCCAATAAAAAACTATTTAATCAATATAGTTAATAATAGAATTGTTGTTATTAACGCACCGTTAACCGTCGTAGGTTTTGATAGGCAACGGATATATTATTCGGGTACAAAAAAAAAATTGTGTTGGAAATAAATAGTTAATTACTCGATGGAATTGGGTCACGTCAATAGGATTTAAAAGGTTTCACTATTATAATAGTTACCTAGGTGCATAATTAATGTCGAAATATAATTTATAACGACTCTCTTCGAATAATACAGCCACGAGTCCGTACAGAGTTGTTCTCATTAATAACATTCAACTAATTCCAAATAATTAAAGATCAGTGGTAAATAGATTAGGTTCTGTAGGTTTTTGGCCTCAGGTATGCGAGACAATGGTAGAATATTGAAGAGAGATTAGCGCAGAGTGATGTAGTGGTAGAGTTAGACTAAAGAAAAAGAAGAAGAAGTAGGTGGATGTGAAGAAGATCCATAGTGTGAATGTAGAAATGGATAGAAATGATTTAGTTGGCTTATTCCATTAGTACGAGATGAGATGAGGAAGAAGAAAATAAAAATAACCAAAGTAAAAATGTATAAACTTCAGTTTAAACTGCTTGGTTTCCGTCCACTTGTGTTTAACCATCTTAACATTTTCGAGCCTCAACACACAATGTGGTCGTCATAGATACATTTTACAGACAATTAGCTTTTATAAAAAACAAATATAGAACAACTGTTAATCAGAAAAACTTAAATTCCTTGATGATATTATCGTCTGAAAATGACATTAAATGTCGTTAATAGATTAATATTGAAGTCTCGTTTAATCAAACACAAAACATTTTCATACCAAACGAAATCGGTTCCCTCTAGTACTAGTCCAGAGCCGTTGCTATGGAGTTTCTCGACCATTATTGCAAACGGCAATCGCTTGCTCAAATATTCACTGTGAGGTTGTGGCCGTTGTGTAATGTATGCAGAATCAGCATTAGCAGCAGCAGCAGCAGCAGATGTAGTTATAGGAGTATTAATATTAGCAGTAGTAGTAGTAGTAGTAGTAATAATAGTAATAGTATTGGATGTATACTGTGTGTACTAGAGAAAGCGCCGAAATGGTTCTGCATTATTGAATGCGTTCGTTTGGTATTCATGGGGGTCGAGCTATGAAGGCGTTGGGCCACGAACGGCTGTGTGACTTCAGCATATTATGTAGAATGTAAACCTTATACGCTCTCTGAATATGTTATTATGTACGAAGGGGTCGTTGATTATAATAATAACAATAATAAGAAAAAAAACACTAGAGCCGAGAGAGAGGGAGAGAGTGACAGTATAAAAAGACCTAACCGGATACAAAGAACCTCTTGCTGAGGATTCGAATCCGTGGCTTTCAGACTGCGGTTTCGTATTCCGGAAATGCCATTTCGGCTTAGTTTAGAGACGGGAAATGATAAAACGAATATTTATTTTTAAAAAAAAACAACAACAACAAAGGAGCCTCCGTATAATCCAATAAAGAACAATTAACCGTCGACAGTCCCGTACTATACTTATCCCTGGTTTTTTTTCCTTTGCTAGGTTGACCCACATAACCTCACATAATACATGTGATATCTAACGGCCGTTATGACGTGTGTGTGGCGCCGTCGCGACGGGCTTGGCC